GAGTCGTGCCCAAACAGGGAATATGGCGGGGTTTATTTTGGTTGGCTCTCTCCGTGGGAGCTGGGGATTGGTCCCCTTTGAACAAAGCAGCAATGTATCATTGGTGGTTGTCTTCGGGCTCATGCCATGAGCCCCATATCCGATATGCCATGCGGACATCTGTTCTGGCAAAGCCCGCTGTTTGGGCTCCCTGGGTTGACGTCAGCCGTCTTTTCCGGGGTGTAGTTCGGCCACCAGTTTGTCCTGCCCTGCCCACCCTGACAGGTAGTAGTTGGCCCTCATCAAATCTGACGCTTTCTCAGCACTGTCCACTGGTCCTGGGGGTAGGGGGTGGGAGACCGACTGTCTAACACCCAAAGCCTGAGGGGTGCCTCAAGTTCAGGAGCACACACGTGGCCTTCGGAGAAGAGGAATCCATCTCCTGCTCCCTCCACCCACTCTCTCTCCTTCCTCCAGGATGGTGGTCGGCTTCCCAACACTGTCTTCTGGCTCCCTGAACTCCAAGCTTTTTTAAAACTTGATTCTAGAGAGAGGGGAAGAGAGGGAGAAAGAGAGGGAGAGAAACATCACTGTGCAAGAGAAACAGCAATCAGTTGCCTCTCACACATGCCCCAACTAGGGATTAAGTCTGAAAACCCAGGCAGGTGCCCTGACCAGGAATCAAACTGGCAGCCTTTCGGTTTGCAGGACAATGTCCAACCAATTGGACCACACTGGCGAGGGCTCCAAGCTTTTGACTATCGGAAAATCTTCTGGGTGAATGGCAGACCACCCTCAGCGTCTGCACTGTGTGGGCCTTGGCAGGGCGTGGGTCTTCCCAGCCCCAGGGCCTTCGCACTTGCCATTCCCTCTGCCCGGGGTGCCCTTCCTCCTGCTCTTCTTGTAGCCAACTTGTTGTTCATCCTCCACAGAGTGTGCCCTTCTCAGAGACCTTCTAAGACCCCCCTGTCCCTTTCACTCCACTTTGGCTATGGGCTCTGTCATTACAGAAGGACTCCCATCTGCTTGGCTTGCCCCAGCGAATAGCCCAGGGAGGCCTGTCCCAGCAGATGCTCTGAGCAAACCCATCCCCTCATCCTGTGCAGGGAGCGGCCCTGGGCCTCAGGTTCCTGGATCCCTCCATGACCCTGTAAGGGCAGCTGATCCTCTGGACCCGCCTGGCCGCCAGTGGACAGAGCCTCTGCCTCACCCGTCTCCCCTGGCAGCCCTGGCCAGCCTCACTGCACAGACCACTAGGTCCTGGCCTGCCAGGGGCTTTCAAAGAGAGAGAGTCCTCAGGGACAGTGGGCAGCTCAATCAGACAGGGCCTCTGACTCCAGCTAGAATACCCTTTCCCCTAGTCTTTGTCTATCCAACTCTGGCTTGCCCTTCAAATTCATAGATCACCACCTCTGGGAAGCCTTCTATGATTGTCTCCAGCCAAAAGTAGCATTCTTCCCTCTGATCTCCTCCAGCAGTGAGGCAGTGGCTAAGAGCCTGGGGCTCAGTTTCTCCACGTGGACCAAGGGAGATGACCCAGGTGAAGCTCCGGTACCATCCTGGCACATAGTAGGCACGCAGTCACGATGTTGTGATCCCTGCCCCCCTCCACCCAGGCAGGAACGCAGCTCCCTCAAGCTCTGGCACACAGTAGGCACACATCTCCTGAATGCTCACCCGGGTGACCAGCAGGTGGCCCCACACCCCAATTAACCTGCCCCCGACCAGCTGCTCTGGGCCCCAGAAAATCCATTCCCTGGAGTCACCTGCGGCCTTCTCCTGCTCCGGGAAAGCAGAGAGGGCAGAGCCGGCAGAGTCCTGGCAGCCTGGCCTGTCACCCAGCAGACACCTGGGCTGTGCTGGCGAGCAGGGCTTTGGACTTGGCCACCCCCTCCCCTTCTCCACCGCAGCCCTGCCCACCCCTGGTGAAGTCCACTCCCATTTAAGAGATAAGAAAATTGAGACCCAGCAAAGTGTTTGATATGCCTGGGGCCGCAGAGCATTCCCACAAGCTGTCAACTATCTGGCCCTGATTTATCAATGTCTCATTTTCCTGACGGGGAACCTCAAAAAAAAAGTGGAATAGCCATACCCAAGATTGCATGGAAACCAAAGTTCAGGTCTCCTGGCTCTAAACAGAATGACCCCACACACAGAGTGGGCGGTGGGCTTCCCAGACCCTCTGTTGCTTGCTGGCCACAGAGAAAGGTTTACCCTGTTGGGTTTGGGGGCAGCGGCGAGGATGCACTAGGGGTGCAGAGGCTCAGCCCAGGGCACCCAGATCTGGAGCCGGGCTCCCTGGGGACTGGGCCCCTTCCCCGTGCCTGCCAGAGAGAGAGCTTCAAGCAGGCCTGGAAACACGGAGACCCCTTCAGGGGTGCGGCAGGCTGCATTGGGAGGCTCCACTGTGACGCCACAGTGGAAGGGCTGAAACGGGGGCGGGGAGGGGCTGGTGCGGAATGGCAATGAGCCCGGCCATTGGAACCCAGCCAGCGCCAGGTTTGCAAGACAGAGCACTGCGCTGTCGACTGGGTCAGGGGGAGGAGCGTCACTCGGAAGAAACATCACGCACACACACGAGCACTCACACATGTACATGTGTACATGTGTGAGTATACCTCTTACGGACTCTTTACTGACGGTCCCAGGGAAGTCACACGGAACCCATGCAAACGCCTGTGTCTGAACAGGCCGAGGTGAGCGTGTGGCCACTTCTTAGCTCGCCCGATCTCCGCTGACTGTCAGGGGTTTGTCTCCACTTCACAGACGGCCACACTGAGGGCCTAAGAGGGTGACTGGGCCAGGCCTCCAGTCTCCGCGCCTCGGTCTGTGAGTGCTGCGCCTGATGCCCGAGGTCTGGGGACCGTGCCCTGGGCCGGGCTTGTCACTAGTCCAGGCTCCTCGTTAGCTCTCGGAAGTGACCCGGCAGACTGGAGACTCGGGGGCAACCCTTCCATCCTCTCCTCCGCTAACCACCTCTGCTGCACACTCGGGTACAGGAGGAGGCATGGCCTCTCCCCGGCAACAGCGATGGGCCAAGCGTGGCCGGGATGAGTCCATCCCCGGGACTGGCAGGCAGACGGACACCCGAGCAGATGCCGAGACTGCTGAAGCCCCGGCGTTGCGTGTGACGGCACACAGGCGGGAGACCGAGACCAGCCCTGGGGAGAAGCACAGACAGGCAGAGCCGAGGGGCGCACAGTCCCTGTTACAGCATTCTGCTCAACTCTGTAACCCGTCAGGCACCCTGCCCAGCCGCTGGGGTGCATACATCCCCTCTTCAGTTCAAACTGGCCCCTGACATCTCCTCCTCAAGCCACATCCTTTCTTCACAGACGGTCTCAAGCCTGACCTTCGACAGGTATTTGTGTGATATTTCACTCTCCCTCGAGTGTGAACTCCCTGGAGTGAGTCGCCTGTCTGATGCTCTCATGCTGCCTGCCCTGCACCTAGTCCGGGGTCTCAGGAACAGTGGGTGCTCAGTAGCTGAGGGAAAGAGTCTGTCTGTACCCCTGCAGCTTTGTGACCGGACGGACTCCACCCGCCTTTGCATCTGGCCACCCTTTCACTGGACAGAGTCCACGACGAGGGTCGGTCTGAACCGCAGCCTCCGTGAGAGCCCCAGAGTTCAACTGGGGAGCCAGAGGCCCTTCAGAGAGTGCGCCACCCTCCGTGAAGCCTAGGACGGGAACCAAGTCCCGTCTGCCGCAGCTCTGGAGAGCAGGCCCTCGGGAGTGAGACCCCATGGGTGGAGAAATCCACATCTTCTGCGTGGAAAATCCCAGGGGTAACCTTGGGGCTGGATTGCCTTTCCCTCAAGCAACTGCGAGCACTTCTCTCCTTGACGGCTGAGGTTGCCAGCCGGGGTGGCAAAAGGGTGCCGGGCAAGAGGCGTTCTCCTGGCCCTGCACACAAGAGTTCACATGCCCATGGCCAGAGCTCCCAGACGGCCCCCTGGGTGGGCACTGGCATCCCCAACTACATAGTTAAGGAAACTGAGGCAGGAAAGCTGGAGGACTCGCCCAAGGTCGCCAGGCTGGGAAGCAGCACGCATCTCCAGAGCGAGCCTGTCCCTGCCTTCCAGCAGCTCCGCACCTCCCCCACGCCCCGAGGAGAGGGGAGGTGGAGGAGGGCGCGCTGCTGCTGCTGCTGCTGCTGCTGCTGCAAAGGCACAGGCCGGTGCGCTCTCAGAAATGCAGGAGGTTTCAAGACAGGACCTGGGAGAATATGCCACAGTCAGGGCCCCCCGCCCCCGCCCTGGGCTGCCCGCAAGGGCCCCCGCGGGTCGAGGGTGCTCCGTTGTTGCCATTGCCGGAGTAGTCAAAAGACAGTCTCCAGTGTCCCGCCCCCTCCCCTCCCCTCCCCAACATTCTCGCTGCCAAATGAAATCTGGCAGCTTCTGAAAATAGCTCAGCGCTGCAGCAGGCACCGTGCCTGCCCTTCAGCAGGCTGGCACACAGCTGGGGGTGGCCACCGTGGGAAGACGCTGGCACACGCAGGGCTGGGGATCGGCCTCACACACACTGTGCCGGGTGGCACAGGGCTGGGGACACGGGGCAGCTGCCACCCCTCCGCTCTTCTGACCTGACCACGCCTGGAGCGGCCCCAGTGGCGCTGGAGCCAGCCCGAGGCACCCTCCCCAGCAGGGCTGAAATCACCAGTGGGCATGAGCGGCTGCCCTGGGCCACTTTTGTCCACTCATATAGACAAAGAAAAACGCAGGAACCGGGGGAAAATGCCAAAATGGTGTTTATTAGCAGGGTTGCCCTATGTGACGTGGTCTGGGGTTTCCCGGCCGGGAAGCAGGCCGGGAGGCAGGCACTTGTCGCCCCGTCTGGGGCAGCGCGGGGCCGGCGCGGGCCGGGTGAGCCCGGACTGGCAGGGAGGAGCGCCGTCCACTCCCGCTCAGGCTAGGCGCAGACTTTCAAAGCGCCACTCAGCAGCCCTCCACGGCCTCGGGTCTGATCCGGAGCACACATAGAGACCCCTGATGAACAGGGAGCCTCTTGGTCCTGCCCCCCCCCCGCTATCCCCTCTCACGGAAGCACCCAGGAGTCCACTGGGGCAGGGTGGAGAACCAACCGTTATGGAGAGGGGCTCTCCTGCCTGGCATGCCGTGGCAGGTGGAGAGGTGGAGGCAGAGAAACTGTACCAGTTTTTGTCACAGTGACATTTTCCAAAGTAGAAAAGCATTAAAAATACCTCCCACCCTCCGTTGAGATGAGGCCACTCTTTGGGTTGGGGCTAGTAACGGAGGGTGGGGCCCAGGGAGTGGGGAGGAGGAGCTCCAAGGGCTGGCGGGTCCTGTGGGATGGGGTTGCAGCAAGATAGGGCTGGACCACCCAGGGAGACAGACAGACTGACCCTGTGGCCTCTGGGAGGCCAAAGAGGCTGAGACTGAGAAGGGGAAGTGGTGGGAGAAAGACCGGCCTCCCCAGAAGGCAAAGGCGGAGGACCCTCAACTGCCCCTTCTCCCTCCCCTGCTCGCTCACTCAGCATTCACAGACAGCAACTCTGTCCCTGGTCACCATGGCAACCAATGGCCCGCTGCCTTTCCCAAGGCCAGGCCCATCAGCCCACACCGCAGGGGGGTGTCTTCATGGAAGGAGGGAAGCCCAGCTGCAACCGCAGGTGCCCTGCAAGTCCAAGGCCACACCCAGGTCGGGGCAGAGCCGGGGCTCTCAGGCCCCCCTGGGCACAGGCACCGCGGACTCCGCAGGCAGCACCCCAGCCCCAGGCACCGCCCCCTCTACGGCCCGAGCCTGGACTGGGGCTCTAAGGAGGCTTGGGGTCACAGCCCTCCATCCTGAAGTTGTAAGTGACAGATTAAAACACAATAAAATAGTTCTCTTGTTTAAAAAAAAAGCGGCCCTGGGCCCTCTGGGGCAGGGCCTCGGTCCACTGCAGTCCGTCCCCCAGGCAGGCGGCCCGGGCACTACTGGTTGTTGCAGCCCTGCGAGGCGAAGGAGCCGCCGGCCTGCTTCTTCCTCCGCTTGTTGAGGAGCCGGTTGTTGGAGGCCTTCAGGTCCTTGATCTTCACCTGGTCGTAGTCCACTCGCATGGTGGCCAGGGCGCTGGTCATCTCCTCCTGGGGGCAGATGTCAGGACGTGGGGACCTCAACAGCCATCACCCACCCGCCTGGGCAGCCCCTCCATAACATCAGTGGCAGCAACGGCTACCTCTGTCTGTGGCCCGCATACCCACTGTGTGCCCAGCACACCCACTGTGTGCCCAGCACTGACCCGCCCATCTGCACCACACAATCCTTGGTGGCAGGCACCGTGCTGATCCTCCAAGGCATAGGAAGTGCCTTAATGACTCCCTGGGACCACACCAGGATAACCAGAACAGGAACCTGGAGCGGTGCCGCCTACTCAGAACCACAAGGCCCGCAGGGGGCGCTATCTTACTGGGCACGCCGGGCACTGGAGCCTGAAGACTGTGCCCTGGGAGTCTTAGGGCTCAGAGCAGCTGCCCCACACGCTCAAACTCGGCCTCTGCTGAGTCTGGAGCCAGGCCGAGCCCCTCCCAAGTGCTGTAGATTATAAGATGGGTTCTGGCCAGAGCTTGGGTCCAAAGGCCTTTCACTGAGCCCCGGGCCCAAAGCCCCCTCCATTGACGGAGTGAGCCGGGAGCGCCGCCCCGAGGGGGGCAGGGCAGCTCAAGGCTGCACACGCCACGGCGGGCCCCCTGGTGCCATCAGAGATGGTCAGAGATGCCCTGTGCTCCAGGCATGGGGCAGGAGCCGAAGACCCAGACTCCGGCTGGCCACCATCCTGGAGTCCCGTTCTCCAAAGCCCTGGAACCTACGGGGAAACCGAGGCCGAGTCCACCCACCTTAACGTCGTCCCAGTGGTCTTTGTCCTCCTGCAGCACTCGGGCCGTGTGCAGCGGCGTCTGTGGCACCACCGTGGATTGCTGCAAGGAGCCCCGAGCCCATGGGTCAGGGCCTGCCCGCACCTGGGACCTCACTGGCTCCCTCCCCACACCCCTTCTCAGGTCTCTGATGGGGAAACTGAGGCCCAGGGAGGTGAAGGAGCCTGACTGGAACAGCGGGAAAGCGCAGTTGGGGGGGGGGGGCACTACCACACATCCGTGGCCCGCGCCCAGGCCTCCTGAGCCGCCGCCCTCCCGCCCTTGCCACCCTGGCCGCCACTCTGGCCACCACCCTGGCTGCCACAGGCCCAGGCAGTGCTCACGTTGATCCAGGGATGGTTCATGAACTGTGCGATGCTCAGCCGCTCTGTGGGGTCCGTCTTCAGCAGCAGGCGGATCAGCTGCTTGGCTGGGGACGGGAGGTGGGGTGAGGTGGTGGAGTTCCCCCGAAGCCTGCTCCACGCCCCCTCCCCGCCCCCACTCTGCACGTGCTCCCAGATTCCCAGCCCACAGGAATAGCGAGCTAATAACTGCCAGCGTCCGGGGTCATCTGTCAAGCAGCAGCGACCAGCTGACGGGGCAGGCTTGTCTGTGGGCCCCGCAAGGGAAATAGGAGCGAGGCCCAGCAGTTAGAGGAAGTGTCGAGGAGGCAGATTTTGAGCCGATTTGACAGAGAGAGAAACTGAAGTTCAAAGAAGTCTGGCGACTCGCCCGGGGCCACACAGCGGGGCTGGGCGGGGGGGGGGGGGGGCAGCGCCTCCTGCACACAGGCCGGCTGGCACCAAAGCGGCGTCTCCCCGGACGAGGGCCGACGGGGTCCAGGGCAGAGCGGTCCCTCACCGTCCTCGGACACGTCCGACCACTCGGGGTTGGGGAAGCCGTACTGGCCGAGGCGGATCCTCCTCTTCATCCCCGGGGAGATGGCCTGGCCAGTGTTGGAGTAGAAGGGCGGGAAGCCGCACAGGCTGGGGGAGAGCGGAGGGCATTGGGCGCAGGCGTGGGGCAGGGGCAGGGCCAGGGCCCTTTCTCCTCCCCCAGCCCCCACCTGGGGGCCTGGGGGGACGGGCGGCCAGACATCACCTGTGCCCCCAGCCCTCTGCCCCCGGCCCCAGGCTCTTCCCAGCCCCCTGCCCTTGTACGGGGAGGCCTTCGGGAGGCCTTGCAGGCGGGGTGCCCCGAGACCAGAAGGGAAAGGCAGCCTGCTGCGTGAAGAGAGTGACCCGCTCGGGGCTCAGCGAGGGCGTGTGGCACTGAGGTACCTGGGGTGGGGGCGCACAGGAAGTCCAGTACTCACAGGATGTACATGATGACACCCAGGGACCACATGTCACACGACTTGTCATACTTCTCTGGACCCAGGACCTCAGGAGCTACCAGAGCAGAGGGCATGGGGTGGGGGGACGGCTCTCAGCTCCAAGGGTCTCGGAGCCCAGGCGGGAGCCTGAAGCCTGGGCGAAGTGGGGAGCAGGCACCCAGACTGGGGGGCAGGGCAGAGCCGACTGGTGTCTGGCACCTTCTGGGAAGGCAGCATGAGTGCGAAACGGTGGGGGGGGCGGGGAGGCAAACAGCTCCCAGAAAAAATTAACCCGCACTGAGGCTGCGCTGTGAGAACGACAGTCTCCTCGGGCGGGCTCAGCCTTGGTGAGGGTGGGGGGTTGGGGGAGAGAGGGCCACTCTGGGGCTTGCTGAGGTCCTGCCATAGGTGAAGGGGCCACCAGCTGTCCTGTGTCCCTTGCCCCCTGAACAGACAGGGCAAGGAGGGGCTGGGGGCGGAGCTGTGGGCTCCACTGCCACCTTGGCTACCATCCCACGGGACCTTGGTCTTCCCGGGAGGACAATGCACGGGGCAGGCCAGAAGGGTTTTCTGAGTTAAAATCCTGCAAAATACGTCCTGCTGAACAGAGAGTGCCACGGTGTCGGGGCTTCCCGCCCCTTCAGCAGCTGTCTGGGAAGGCCTCGCTGAGGGGGAGCCCTTGGTGAAGGGGGGCGTTCCCCGGCTCTTGGGCCGGGCACTGTCCGAGGGGACTTTTCCAGGTCTGGGGCTTCCGGCTCACAGGGGAGCGAGGAACTTCTTCAGGAGCGTGAGCGTGCGCTCACCCCAGGCCCTCCCTACCCACGCCCTGGCCTGAGGGACCCTCTCCAGGGAGACAGTCCGCTGCTGCCCCTGTCCCTCTCCTGGCTGCTGCCCCGGTCCCTCTCCGGTAGGAGGAAAGGCCCGCCCACTTTCTGAATACGAATCCCAGGAAGATAAGAACCGGGGAAGGAGAAAAACCGCCGCAGCTGGGCTGCGTCCGGAGCTGGTGGCAGCCTTTTATCGAGTATATATTTAGAGCTGCTGTGATGTCATTCTGCTCACAGGCCACAGCCAGAATTTTCCTGGATCTATTTTCAAAAGCAGAAGCTGAAATTTGGGAGAATAATTTTTTTGCAGCCTCCGGAGCCCCCCACCCCATCACTGCCTCCGTGCAGGCAGAATCCCCTCCCTCCTTGCGGGATTTAACCCTCTGCCTTCTGCAGCCCTCCGGCTGCCCCAGAGCAAGCACTGCAGGGCTCTGTGGGGGGTGGGAGGTACCCGGCCTGTCCCCAGCACTCACCCACATAGTAGGGAGTGTAGCAGGGTGTCTGCAGGGCATTCTGGGTGGTCTCCTTGGCAAAGCCAAAGTCGGTGAGCTTGAGCACCGCGTCTTTCTCCTTGGACGTGTAGAGCAGGTTTTCAGGCTGGGCCGGGGAGAGCAAACGTCAGTCTGGAGTCGGGCACCAGGTGGGGGCAGAGTCCCAAGGTGACCTTCAGCCACACTTCCTCCCTCTCTGACTCGAATCAAAACGATGCAGGAGGAACCAGTCCATCTGCTGAAAAAGACCTGGGCCTTTGTCTCCAACAGCGTGGGAGAAGTATAGAAAAGACCGAGGTGGCTGGGAGGTAAGACCCCTTTCACAGAGGGAAAACAGAGGCAAGAGTTCAAAGTTGTAAAGCACCAAGTGCCACAGAGAGCCCGGGGACAGGAACTTCTGAGCCTGCGTTGGTGGTGCTCCGTGAAATGCTAAGTGAGGGTCTGGGGGGAGACGGGGTGCTCACGAGAGGTGAGCAGGGTGCTCAGCGCTGCCAAGCACAGGTCCTGTACCCGGCCCCCGAATGAGCCAGCAGGGCTGCCCCACCTGAGGACGCTCAGCAAGGAGGCCCCCGCTGCTTAGGCCCCTGGAGCTGCCCACAGACAGTTCTTCCCAGTTGCAGAGCACAGAGGGGATGAAGGGATGAGGGCAGTGGGGAGGTCTGCCTGGAGGAGGCAGCCCTGAAGCTGGTGTTTAATGAATGGGTAGGAGCCAGGCCCGTGGAGAAGTGCAGAAGGACAGGGTGTTGGCCGAAGTCCCAGAGTGGAGCGACCTTGGATCGGGATAAAAACAGGGCAGCGGGTTTTGCCTACACAAGGGAACCTCCCCTGCTGAAGGTTTTCCTCCCCTTGGGGAAAAAGGAAGCCAGGGCCCAAACAAAGCCGAAGCCGGGGTTCAGCAGGGGAGTGTGCCACAGCTGCACCTGCCTCCAGGATGCGAGAGCTGTGCGGCTGGCAGGGCCCGGCCCGGGGAAGGCCCTGATGCGGCAGCTGGCCCCGCAGCTCCTCGGCCCAGTCCCGGGAGGAAACAAGCCTTAGGAGGCCGCGCTGCTGGCCCGGGCGCAGGGCCCAGGACTCGCGGGTTTCGCTCCAATGGTGGCTGGCACCTGCGCGCATACGCAGGGCCGTCTCCGCCTGCCTTTCTTCAGGAGGAACCTGACAACCCCTAAGGTCCTGTCCGCCCCAGCAGGAAGCTGGGAGAGCAGGGCTCCAGCGCCCACCACGGCCGCGAAGTCCACCCACGGGAACAGCGAGCAGGCCTAACCTATGGAAGCTACGAAGCTACGGCTGGCACCTCACAGAAGTGTCCCCAACAGCGTCAGGCAGCCCCTGCCCGAGGCCCAGCCCTTCGTGTGCTCCCAAAATTCCTTGCTGAGGGAACAAATGAATGAGTGAACCCTAGGGTGGCAACTTCGTGGCCTTGGGCAAGACACTTAAACTCTCTCTGAGCCTCGGTTTTCTCATCTGTCGGATGGGCACTGGCAGCTAACCTCGCAGGGTTAGGGGAGAGTTAAATGGGATGCCTGCCAGGGCCCCCTGGCCTGCAGTAGGCACTCAGCCGTGCTTGCGGCTGCTGGTGTCATTGTGTTCAAAGGAGTCGAGGAGAGAGACCCCTGTGGCCAGGGCAGAATGAGCACGCCAGAGGCAGGGAAGGGGCTGAGTAGACCCCAGTCCGGGCCAGCAAGCAGAGGCCCCCGCCTACCCGGTGCTGGGAGCCACGGGGGTGCAGATCCCACTTCTCTGCCCGGTCCCAGCCCGGGGCCCGAAGCCTCACCTTGACGTCTCGGTGGGCGATGTTATGGCTGTGCAGGAACTGGATGGCCGTGCCAATGTCACGCATGATCTCTGCAGCTTCTGCGGTCACAGCAGAGGGGGGAGTGATGCCAGTCAGAGGTCAGGTGGCCTGGGATGCCCCCCCTACTCCCTGGGGTGCCCCCCCCACTCCCCCCAGGGCCAGCACAAGATGGCGGCAGCACTCCTGCAACCCAGGACCCCCATTCCATACGCCTGCCCCAGGCGCCCCGATTTCCTCTGAGGATGCCCCGCCCACCTACACCTCTTCCCTCGGGCCTGGGCTGCCTCTCCCCGGCTCAGCTGCTGGCCGGTGCCAGAAGCTCTGGGGCCTCTCCTCCCAAGGCCACAGACAGCCCCTCTCCAACAAGGTGTCACAGACCCACGGAACTCCTTGGGGTAGGGGCGCTCTGTCTCAGCCTCTCTAGGTCAGCTGGGGAGACCACGGTCCAGAGAGGAGCAGGGCCTTGCCCAGCAACACACAGCAACTCACTGGGGTCCGTCTGAGTCCGAACCACCCACTGACCCAGCTGCGCGCATGTACCTCTCTCAGTGAAAGCCTGGTCGCCCCGCTCCTGAATCCTGCTGAACAGCTCCCCACCTTCCATGCTACAAGAAAAGGGGGCTGTAAGCAGGGGAGGGAGGCTGGGCGTCAGCCCGCCCCACCCTGCCCCGAATCAGGGGCCCGGGCCCTGCTGCTCGTCCCCTGGGAACAGTCCCTGCCAGCTCCCTGTGCCCAGACGGCCTGGAGCGTGGTGGCCTATCTGGCCTATCTGGCCTATCTGCCTGGTCGGACTGAGCTCTCAGAACTAGGGAGGGCGGTGTCTTTCCACTGGCACTACCCCCACCCCCACATGCGTCTCAGTTTCCCCCAAATGAGGGATGTCAGTTATCACCATGACCACTGTTTTCTGAGCACCTACTGTGTGCTGTGTCCTGGGCACACGCTTCATGAACACTGCTGTGTGACCCTGGGCTGGTCCCTTCACTTCTCTGTGCCTCAGCTACCTCTTTTGTAAAATGGGGACGATAGCACCAGCCCCACAGAGTCGGGAAGACCGAAGCAGCGATACACGTGGAGCACTTGGAACGGAGTCAAGTACAGGGTGAACGCACATTAAGGTCTTCCTCCACGTTTCACATGGGGGTTGGAGAGGTTCAGAGAGGTTAACAGCTGCCCGAGGTCACACAGCTAGGGGGGACAGAGCCAGGGTCTGAACCCCAAATCTGACTCAAGAGCTGCTAACCTGTAGGATAAAGTGGACCCCAAAGGCAGAGGGAGAGGAGCTGGAGGCCCAGACGTGGGCCCCAGGGTCTGAGGGAGGCCAGGGCTGAGCCACGGAGCTAGTGGGAGGAGCCCGGGGTGGAGGAGGCTGCACTGGGGCTGGAGCTGGGTCCTGCTTACCCAGCATCTGACGGGACCGTGAGTGCGCAAACCCGGCAAGAAGGAGAAAGCTGGGGGGACAGTGTGTCCCGCTCTTCCCCCCACCCCCACCCCCGCCCACATTCCTCTGACAGCTCGCCCAGCCCCTCCTGGCAGAGTGGAGAGCACCCCGGGGAGACCATCTTCCAGCCCAGTCCTCCCGCCCTGGAGTGTGATCTCCCGGGCCAGGGCCTGCCGCTGCCCCTCTGCTCCTCCTCCTCAGGGGCCAGGGGCCCTCCCGGGGCTGCTATCTGGGCAGACAGCGGCTGGAAGAACGGCAGGAGCCTGGGGACCGAGGGGGCGCCCCCGTACCACTCCATGACGATGAGGAGGCAGCGCTTGCTGTGGTGCATGTTCTCGTAGACGTCCAGGATGCGCACGATGTGGGGGCCGCCCGAGGCCTGCCAGTGGTGCTCCACCTCCTGCCGGGCCTTGGGGCTGTCGTACAGGAGCTGCGGGCAGGTCGGCACAGGACGTCAGGCTCGCGGCAGCCACCCTGGCGGTGCCACTGGCCTCACTTTGCAGAGGACGACGTGGAGGAAAGGGGCTGACGGCTCGGGAGGGTCCCGAGGCCAGAGAAGCCCCTCCTCCCTCCCTGGGGCAGCAAGTGAAGAGGAAATCGAGCGGGTTTTGAAGTCCAATCACACAACACCCGCCCGACCCCAGGCCAGGGGCCACGCTCCCTTGAGTCTGACTTTCACCATGGGAAGGCACAAGGACCGAGGACCCAGAAATAGACTCTGGGGGCAGAGAGGACCCCAGCTGAGGGCGATGACCACCTGGTAGGGAGAAGGCTGGGTTTGGGGCTAGCTAAGTTCCTCCAGTGACTCAGTGTGACCTCAGGCAAACATTCACAGCTCCAAGCCGCAGCCCACAACTCTGCCAAATGGAGTAAAAACAGGGTCATGTCCACAGGATGCACAATGGCCAGGCAGGGAGCAGGCGGGTGGCTCCGGGACCCTTGCTCAGGGGGACTCAGCCCTGGGCTGTGGCTGCCAAGCACAAGGCCCATCACCAGAAATGAGCACGGCCCTGGGGCGGCCCAGCTCAGAGCGGTGGGGGAGGGGAGGAGTAGACATGCAGCGAGAGGAAGCCCAGAACCGGGAGAGTAGGGACCAGCCGTCCCCGGGGGCCCTGCCACATTTGTTTTCTAGCTGAGCAGGGCTGGGGACCAGGGCAGGAAACCAGGGCTGGGATGCAGATCAGCGCCCTCTCGCTGGGCACACGCAGGACTTGGGGCCACCCCTGGCCTTGGTTTCCTCCTCTGCCAGTGCCCTATGTGGGGAAGGCTCTGGGCTGAGCTCCCTAGGCAAGGATAAACTGTTGTGGGGGGCGGGGAGGGGGAGGAAGGCAGTGGACTCTGGCTTTCGCTGCCCCCTTGGCTGTTCCTCCATCCCTGGAGCTGCTCGCTCACCCGCCCGCCCTCGCCCAGGAGTGCAGGGCGCTGGGCAAGCCCCCCCACCGGCTCCAGTGTCCCTGCTCCGCTCCCCAGCCTGGAAACCCAGAATCCCTGGCTCCCGCTGCCGTGTCCTCCCACAGAGCCCCTCGGTTTCCCACGCCCACACAGCTCCGGCTCACGGTGCTGGGCACAGATGCTCGGTCACCCCACTCGCCGCGTCAGCTTGGCCCCCGCTCTGTCCTGAGGTGGCTCCAGCTACAGGACTCAAGACACGCCATCCTCCCTCCCTGTTCTGTCTTCTCTGTATCCTTCGTTCACTCGGCCTCCTACCTGGCCTGACCCTGTCCTGTGGGGACCCCAGGCTGGCTCCTAAACCCCCTCCTCACTCTGCCCCACTTCTGGCACCTTCGCCCACGCCAAAGTCCCCTCTCTCCTCTCAGAACTCCCAAGCCCACAGCTGGAAGACTTCTGCTGTGGTCTTCGGCCCCACCTCTCCCGGCGCCCCTTCCCACCCCACCCCCTCCCTCATCCTCTCCTGGCTGACTCCTCCCCAGGTGCGCAGGGCTCGCCTTCCTTTCCCGCCTTATTCCCGCTTCCCCTGCCCCAAACCCTTCTGGTTCTGCCCGAAGAAGGAACGCACTGGTCCCAGACAAGCCGCACCCTCTCGAGTCCGTGCCTACGCCAGCACTCTTGCCCGGCTCCTGCTCTGTCGGCTCAACTCGAGCCTCCCTCTAGGCTGGAAGCAGAGTGAGGGCAGAGGCAGGTCGGGTGAAGCTGGGGGTCCCTGGCTGGGGCCTGGCTCCCGAGCAAAGGGGGTGGGGGGATGGGCTATGGAGGGAAGGAGCTGGGGGTAGGGGAGGGAGAGGAGGGGGGCATGGGGGGGCTGCAGCCTGTGCTGCACTGCGGTGGAGCTTCTCACCAGCTCCCATCCCACTCAGTCCGTGTTTAGGGGACCATTTTCCACACAACTGAGAACAGCCCTTCTCCAAGCACCAAGGCCCTGAGAGCAGGCACAGGGGCAGGGAGAGGGCTGGGCTGTCCCACTGGACCCCTGCGGCTGACTCTGAGTGTGGTCCCAAACCTCACAGAGCCTCGGTTTCCTCATCTTTCTTCCCCACAGCTAGAGTCTTCTTCTCTTCCAGGAATCCCTCCCAATGTCACCTCCTCTCAGAAGCCCTCCCTGACTGCCCTGTTTAAAGAGGGCCTCAAGAGACCCTCATTTTCTCTCCACCTTCTATTCTTCTTCCTTCATGTATATATGCTTCGCTTACTGAGTCCTGTTTTACACACAGGAAAATGCACAAACTCCAAGAGTGTGGCTCAGTGAGCCTGCCCCTCGCACTCGCCCCTGGAGCTCACACCCCACCAGGGCCAGACAGGAAGCTCTCCGGCTCTCCGGAAAGCTCCCTCTCCCTCCACTTCCCTCCTGAGTAGCGCTCACAGCCTGCAATCAGCTTGTCCTTTCTGATCACCCTAATCTCTCTCTCTCTCTCTCTCTCTCTCTCTCACACACACACACACACACACACACACACAGGCTGCACTTTCAACATGCCTGGCTGTTCTGAGCCCTTTATAAATATTAGAAGAAAGGGACTTCCTTATCCCCACTCCTTAGCTGAGAAACTGAGGCACAGAGAGAAGTAGTAACTGGTCCCAGATCACACAGCTCTTTCCCCAGCCGGGAGGCCTCCGCGCTGCTGGCTCCCTCATCGGACTGCGGCCCTGAAGGGCAGTGCCAGTCAGCCCGGCCCCCTCGGGGCCCCATTGGTGGGGTACAAGACCTGGCACGGAACACTGGCTCGGGTAATATTTATAGATTCAACGACCAAATCTGTAGACGGGGGTTGAGCTACTCGCTATGACAACAAACCTTCATAACGCATCCTGAGGACAGAGTGAGGGTAAACTGAGGCCGACTCGGGAAGGCTCAACCACTGAGAGACGTGACAAGCTGGCCGAACTCGCCCCCCACACACCTCGCCCACCCTCTCCGGGGAAGCAGACCCTACCTCTTCCTCTAAGGAGCCCGTCCTGACGGCTCCGGCCACAAGGCCATGCTACACCCTGGCTTCGTCCATGCAAGTACACGTGTCCACGCCACCCTCCATGAAAGACATCTCCCAGCAAAAGCCCCATCTTCCCCCTGGCTGGCGTAGCTCAGTGGATTGAGTGCGGGCTGCGAACCGAAGTGTCGCAGGTTTGATTCCCAGTCAGGGCACATGCCTGGGTTGCAGGCCACGGCCCCCAGCAACCGCACATTGATGTTTCTCTCTCTTTCTCCCTCTCTAAAAATAAATAAAATCTTTAAAAAAAAAAAAAAAAGCCCCATCCTCCCAGGCACGGGAAGCAGCACAGGATGAGGAGACAGGAGGCCTCGGTTCCACTCCTAGTCTCAGTGTGACCTTGGGATTGGGAATTTAAGAGTTGGAAAAGTTTAGTTTAAGGTAAATAGTTATAAGCCCAGCAAGTAACGTATATGTTAAAGCTTTTGTTTCAGAAGCTACAGAGAAGGCCCACCTGGCTGCTGGGAAAACAGCCCCCCCGGGGCACAAGTGCAGGCATCCAGGTGGTTGTGTTCCAGGGAGCGGCCGTCCCAGCACAGGACTGCTGCAGTTCCTTCTACCTGACCTCCACACCCCCTGAATTCCAAACCCCCCACCGCGCCTTGTTTATTCCCTGCTGTAAAGACCTTGGCCTGGAAAGAAAAGACAAGATGGTCTGTTAGGGTATGAACCCGCCATCTTCTCAGATCGCCCACCACCTGAATAAGGGACCATAAAGGTTCGATTGCTGTCATTGCTTATCGGGTTCGGCAGTGACAGGCAGCCTGAATGCCGGTGTCTTTTCCGGTTTCACTTGGGCCAGCCCTTTGCTTCTCGGGTCTCTGTTTCCCCAGTGCTAAGGCGCAGGGCTTGGGCTAGACTTGGGGGAAGGCAACGACAAGGGGGACCGCTGATCAGGGGCTCCTTGCAAAGTGCCTACTGTAGCCCCAACTCCCACATCCCTGCCCCCACGGCGTAGCTCCTGGGTCTCCCCAGACCCCATTTCCAGACGCTTGAACCCAAATGGGCACAACCAACATCCTGGTCCCCAGTCACACTTGGAAGAAAAGATGGGTGGCCTTCTGCCAACCCAGCAGACATGGCCCTCCTTTCACTCCCATCCTACATGCCCTGGGCTTCCCCAGGGGTCCGCCGAATCTCGAGGGTCTGTGGTGGCTCCTGGGCAGCCCCCTAGCTCCTGCTGGCGCCCACCAGGAGCCCCAACACACTCCGGAGACAGAACCCCAGCTTCTTCCTGAAGGAGGGGCTCCCGGCTGTACTTGGGGTGTGGACCCCAGGAAAGAGAGCTGAGCGTGGAAGGTGAGATGACGTGCCCTCGAACGTGGGACCCTGCTCCAGCCTTGCACTCTGATCAGGTGGCTTCCACCCCCCTCTCCCTGCACCGGCCTTTGCCAAACTCTCTCACCTGTCCCCGGGGCCTGCAGCCGGACGGCTGAGACCCCTACTTGCCCCACTGGACTATGGACCCCAGCAAAGGTTGAGGTCAGGGGGGCTGATGCCCCTCCAGTGTCACCAGGTGGAACGGGGGCCTCAGAACTGGCCAGGCTCCTCACGACCTCCCGCAGCACTCCGTCCTACCACGGACGGCGGTTACTGGGGCGGAGGAATCCTGGAGTCCACGTGGGGGCCAACAACAGCAGCATCGGACTGTTTGGAAAACAGCCGCAGGGTACTAAACACTCTTTCCTCCTGGATCTCACGGTAATGAAGCCTGGGCGCCACCCTGTGAGGCCAGCGGGGCGGGGACCATCGGCCCCAATTCACAGATGGAGGAGCGAGGCTCGGGAGGATGAGGTCATCGCCCTGGGGTCAGGGGCTGGAGGACGCAGGGCTGGAAGCATCCAGACAGCCCCTCCCCATGGGAAATGACAGGTGGGCGTGGCCCCGAGCCGAAGAGGCACTGCCCAAAAGTACCGCCTGCAAGACTCGGGAAACCGGTTCTGAGATAAATGTGCGCAGAGGTGCATGGGTGTGTGCACAAGCAGGG